ATCAGCAGCGGGGTCTCCACGAACCACCAGCTCAGCTTTCCTACGGGAAAAGAGAGGGAACGAACAGCTGGGGCTCCTGTGGGAAAAGGGGAGGAAAAATCATCAGTGGAGCCTCCCCGAGCTATCGGCTCTGCTTCCCTGGGGGAAAAGAGAGGAAAAATAACGGGGAGACCACCCCGGACCCCAGGCTCGGTTTTCCTGAGGGAGAACGGGGGGAATTAACAGAGCAGCCATCCCGAACCAGCAGCCCGGCTTCCCTAGGGGAAAACGAGCCGGGAACGGCGGCGGGGATCCGTCCCGGAACGAGGAGGGGGAAAAGGAGGGGATTTAACGGGGCGGCTTCTCGCAGCCCCCGACCCTGCCGGCACACCCCCAGCCCGGGCGCACACGCCACCCCCGCGTCCCGGAGCCCCGGGGGCGGCGGGGCGAGGCGGGGGCGGCGGCGGGGCGGGAGGAGCGGCGGGAGCGGCGGGGGCCGCCCGGCCGGGCCGTACCTGGCGCATCCCGCTGGTTGTCCATTTTGGAGCCCCCGTCCCAGCGTGCCCCGCGCCGGGCGCGCCGCGCCGGGGGCCGCGCCAGCGCCGGCGCCCCTGGGAGATGTAGTCCCTCAGGGAGCCACCGCGCCGCTCTCCCCGCTCCTCCCGCCGCGCCGAGCCCCGCTGGCGGGGCGGCCGAACCGCCCCGCTCTGGCGGCTCCGCCGCTGCGCTCGTTCCCCGGTTCGCCCCGCGTTCCGTCGGTGCGGGAGGGCAGACTACAACTCCCACCGCCCCTCCGCGCCGGCGGCGTTCGGACTCCAAGTCCCGTCGTGCCCCGCGCCCCGCGGCGGTGTTGTCGGCGGCCCCAAGATGGCGGCGGTGGCGGCGGGCGCGGCGGCCCCTCAGCAGCCGCCGCCGCCTCAGCAGCCGCCGCAGCCGGCGGGAGGCGGCGGGAGCGGCTCCGGGGAGGCGGCGGGAGCGGCGGGCGGCGCGGGAGGCGGCGGCGGAGCTGCCGGAGGCGGCGGCGGCGCGGCGGGGCCTGCGGCGGGCTCGGGGTCGGGCGGCGGCGCGGCCGCGGGCGAGTCGTGGTACCTGGCGCTGCTGGGCCTGGCCGAGCATTTCCGCACGTCCAGCCCGCCCAAGGTGCGGCTGTGCGTGCACTGCCTGCAGGCCGTGCTGCCCCGCAAGCCCCCGGCCCGCATGGAGGCCCGCACGCACCTCCAGCTCGGCTCCGTCCTCTACCACCACACCCGCAACGGCGACCAGGCCCGCGGGCACCTGGAGAAGGCGGTGAGCGGCGCTGGGGCGGCCTCGGGGGCACCGGGCAGCGGCTGGGGGCGGTGGGCGCGGGGCTCCGGCTCTTGGAGAAGGTGAGGAGAGGCGGGAGGGGCGGCTGAGAGGTGCTGGCGGCGGGGGAAGATGAGGAGCAGGGCAGGCGGCGGAAGATGAGGAGCAGGGCAGGCGGCGGTGGGAGGCTCCGGGCACGGAGCAGGAGGGTGCTGGGGGGGTTTGTGCCAGCCTAACCCGCTGTGTTCTCTTGCAGTGGCTGATATCCCAGCAGGTATCCTTTTCCGGGGATCCAGGAAAAGCTCCGTGCTTGGAACAGCTCCAAGGAAACCCCCAGAACACCTCAAGGGCCTGGGGACGGGGGCATGGGATGGGTGGTTTTAATCTGCTTTCACAGAACCGCAGGGTTTGGGTTGGAAGGGACCTTAAATCCCCTCTCACCCCCATTTTCTTGAGGGGTTTTGGAGGCTTTGCTGCTCCTTCCCACCCAGATTTTGTGGTTCCCTTAACCCTGGTGCCAGATCCCCCAGTTTGAAGATGTGAAGTTCGAGGCAGCCAGTTTGCTGTCGGAGCTCTACTGCCAGGAGGTGAGAGAACCCCCCAAAACCCCTCTGTGCCCCTCGGATTTGGGCTTGGAACGGGGTAATCCCATGAAAAAATCCCATTTCTGCCACGAGAGGCTTTTTTCCTTCCTTACTGAGGGAGTTCCTGCTGGAATTGCAGCAAGAGTTTCCCACTGCAAGAGGATTTTGCTTGGCCAAATAAATCTTTGGGTCCTTATTAAACGAATGTTAATTTTATGGGCAGGGGAGAGGGAGGGAAATCCATGATTTTCCTCAGGATTTTGAATATCCTGGAATGGTTTGGATTGGAAAGACCTTAAATCCCATCCAATCCCACCCTGCCATGTGCAGGGACACCTCCCAAAATCCCAGATTTCTCCAAACCTCCAAAACCCCAGATTTCTCCAATCTTCCCAAAATCCCAGATTTCTCCAGTCCTCCCAAAATCCCAGATTTCTCCAGTCCTCCCAAAATCACAGATTTCTCCTGTCAGATTTCTCCAATCCTCTCAAAATCCCAAATTTCTCCAATCTTCCCAAAATCCCAGATTTCTCCAATCTTCCCAAAATCCTAGATTTCTCCAGTCCTCCCGAAATCCCAGATTTCTCCTATCAGATTTCTTCAATCCTCCCAAATCCCAGATTTTTCCAGTCCCATCCCGCCCTGCCGTGGCCATTCCAAGGACGGAGCAGCCCCAAACTTCTCCCACTTTAATTTTCTTTTTTTTTTCCAGCACTCTGACCCCTCCCAGCCTCGCCTCCGGGCGTGGTTTTCCCGGGAATTCCCGTGGTTTTCCCAGGAATTCCCGTGGTTTTCCCGGGAATTCCCAGCTGCTGGGTGCTGACTGGGGCTCTTTGCCTTGCAGAATTCCGTGGACACGGCCAAGCCCCTGCTGCGAAAAGCCATCCAGATCTCCCAGCAGACTCCCTACTGGCACTGCAGGCTGCTCTTCCAGCTGGCCGTGAGTCCCTGCAGCAGCAATTCCTGGGGAAAAATCCCTGGAAAAATCCTGCATCCCCCTTCAGAGCAGCCTGGAAGCCTTGCAGTCTGATGTTCCCTAAAACATTGCTGCAAACGGCTGCTTTTTATCCCTTTAGTTCCTAAAAATTTGTCGTTAGTGGAGAGGGAAAAGGCAGTTGGTGTTGGATTGGATCAAGGAATCGGCCAGGATCACTCTGTGGGAATCGGAGACCTGGAATTCCAAGGATGGAGGGAGAAAATCCATTTTGGGGTTTGCAGGGAGAGCAAATCCTGCTGGGGTTGGGAGCGTTGTTTTATGTCTAATGTGGGATGGGAGGAGTAGGAAAAGTAACCAGGAAAAGGAGCAAGGAAAAGAATCCAAGGAAAATTCTTGTTCCTGATTTGGAATACATTCCAAAATACTTGTAAATTAAAAATATTTATAGGAGTAGAGGCACGCTGAAGCGTATTTGTGGAAAAAGAACTTTAATTCCCTTTGGATTAAGGAATATTTAGTTTTCCAGGAGTTCATCCTGAGGACTCCGAAGCTTTTCCTCTCTTTGGAGTTTCCCATTTTTCCCATTTCCTTGGAGCTTGTTCTCTTCCTGAATTCCCACCTGGGGTTGGGAACGGGATCAAATTTGGGAGCACACCTCGGAGGCTCCTCTTGCTGGGAAAACTCTTGCTCCAGTGTGACAATCCCTGGGTTTTTTGGAGCTGTTGGGATCTGATCAACACTGGATTTTCACCCTTTGCCATTTTTAACCAATTTCTCACTAATTAGGAATTTGAAGGCGAAAAAAACCCTTCTGGGCTCAGACAAATCCTTGGAAACGCCACAGATGTCTTTGGAAAACGGGCTTGAAACCCCTTTAAGGAGCAGGAATTTGCAAATCCAGGGATAATGGTGTTTTCTTGGGATTCATGGAGCAAACCCTGAGTTTTTGTGGCTGTTTTTATTCCCGTTTCAGCAACTGCACACGCTGGAGAAGGATTTGGTGTCGGCCTGTGACCTGCTGGGCGTGGGGGCCGAGTACGCGCGCGTGGTGGGCTCCGAGTACACCAGGTGACAATTCCCGAGGG